ACATCATTAAGGTCAACGCTACTTTGAGGAGGCAGCTCTTCCCCAGTGGTATTTTCAGTGCTTCCAACCTGAGGGGCTCCTCTTCCAGTACTATATCAGACAATGTTCTACTGCTATTAATACGGTTTTCACCTGTCAATTTTTTTCAGAAGTAGATTGCCAGGTTCTTCTTCCTAGTCTGTCTTAGTCTGGAGGCTCCACTGAAACCTGTCCACCATCGGTGACCTTGCGGATATTTGAAATACCAGTGGCATAGTTCCCAACATCACAGCAACACGCAAGCCACCACAGTACGACAAACTGACACAAAAATGAAAAGGAATCCCTGGGTGGTGAAAACGGTTAATGCTCTCAACTGCTAACCAAAAGGTTGGAGGTTTGAGACCACCTAGAGGTGCCTCAGAAGAAAGGCCTGGTGATCTACTTCTGAAAAATCAGCTGTTGAAAACCCTATGCAGCCCAGTTCTACTCTGACACCCATGGCAAAAAAATTTTTTAAGAGACAGAAAAATAAGTTTAAAATATAACATCCTTACTGGAGACTACTTTTATAATGTAACACCTATAGATATAAAAAGCAAAACAAAAAAAAAAACCACACACACCAAACCCATTGTCATCAAGTTGATTCCGACCCATAGTGACCCTCTAGATCAAGAGCAGAACTGGCCTATAGGGTTTCCAAGGCTGTAATCTTTATGGAAGCAGACTGCCACATCTTTCTACCACAGAGCAGCTGGTGGGTTTGAACCACCAAACTTTGGTTAGCAGCCAAGTGCTTTAACCACCGTGCCACCAGGGCTCCTATAAAAAGCAAAGAAATAAAAACTTGTCTAGAAAGGAAGACAAAATTACTGTCATGGGTTTAGTATGTTAGCCATGGTAACTGTTATAAACTGTTTATAACTCTTTATAAAGTCATAAATCTTTTAAGATCTTCTCTTTCAGCTCTAAAGTCTAATTTCTAGGTTGTTTCATAAAACTTTCCTTTGCTTCCTTTTCCAAGGAATAGGCTAAGACAGACAATAAATACATAAGCACTTACTCTTTCTGCCGAGGGTCACTAATGATGTGGCCTATCCTCTCAGTACCCAAAGTACTTATGCTCGTCTCCTGAAAAGACAAGGAAGACAAGAGTATCATCCAATCACAAAAACAAATAAATAAGCCCAATCTGTTACCAAGCTCATGCTTTCCCATAACTGGGCCAGCCAAGGCAAATTCAAAGGAACTTGTCCAAAGTCAATCTTAAAATCCAAGAGCAACTGTTATCTCTTTTTATGGGGATATATTTTAAAAGTATTACATGTTACCCTAGTGTTATTTTTTGTTAATGATCAAAAAAAGTCATTATAAACATTATCTACTATGTATGGTGTTTTAATACAGTGAGTAATACCTCCTGTAGTCACTGAAGTATACAGGAGTAGAAGTACTTTTTAAAAAATCCAACAGCAGCCAATTTTTAACAGGCTAGGACACCAAGCTCCCTCCTGACAGTTATGCCATTGTAGCCCCAACAGCCTTCATTAACATTTACTGAGCCCTCACTGCTAAGTACCTAAATATCTGCTGGCTAAATGCATATACTTCAAAGGACTTTTGTGACTTACAAAACCTGTCACCTTGTATTTTGTTCCTTAAACACCTTTTTTTATTTCTTTAAATAAAAGTAGAAGTCTGTATAAACTGGTTCTTGAATTTGGGGTTCTCGAGACTGTAATAAGAATGCTTACCCATAACAACACTAGCTATTCAGAAACTAATCATCTCCAGAAAGTTGGAAAATGGCAGAAGGCACTGAACCTAAGTACATTCACAGTGACTAGCAGTATCTGAGAAAGTAGACCAACACATACAGAATAAAAGTTACATACACATGAGACAGTGTTGAGAGCCTAAGTCACAGGCAGGAACGTCAAGCATGTCAAGCCTGTTACTCAACCACGTTTGTTTCTACGAAAACGTTATTTGTCAGTGACCACTGATTTCTTCAATGAATTAGCCTAAACATCAGGACACACACTTTAGCACAATAACTGGCTAGAGAAAATCAATGTGAGGTCAAATTCCAGGTGGGAGTGGAGCTAAAAGAAAAGGTTTCATATACTGTATTCTTCATATTCTTTCTTCATCCCTTACGGCCAAGCCTCCTGGTCACAGACACAGACATGGTAGGGGGGCCAAGGGGAAAGACGGGTAAAAAATGAGCTATTTGTTACAGCAGGAAAATTATTAACTTAAAGTGCCGTAATGTTTAAATTTACAGTTTATTACTGTGTAAATTACAAGCAGTACTTTGCGTAATTAGCAGCTCGCTGGCGGGGAGCTGTGAATGAAACTCATTATTTATGATTATAATTTAGAAAAAGAGAAGAGAGATGGGGGGAGTGGGGGCAGAGCCGTGACCTCTGCTAGAAATGACAAATATCCCTTTAAGGTGATGAAGATGAATGAAACAAGTAAATATTATCCTATTCATTTGAAATCATTAGAAGCACATCCAACAGGCCTTAGGTCCCTTCCAGGCAAGCTAAAGGGAGCCTTCAAGAGGAAATGATTTACTTCTATAGAAGTGGAAGGCTCTGATTTTATAGGAGCTGAAACAAAGTAAGGTAGGTGGTTAGGAGAACATTATCTGTCAAGCCTTTCCAAATAAAGAGGAAAAGTAAATACATTTCTCCATTCCCCACTCCCAAACTCCTGCTTCCTCTACCCCATGTACTCCTCTCCTGCCAGCTGTCCTCTTAGGGATAACCTTCCAATTAGCAAAAGTAGCAGTTTATTGTCTATAAAATGAGTTTCCAAAAGGAACAAGGTATTGTTGTTCCAACAGTCAAATGTCTAATTGGGGATTTGGATTTTAATCGAAAGACAAAAAGAAACAAGAATCCTAGTTCATCTGGAAATCAACAGCTTCATCTCTTTTACATATATAAAACTTCAGAAATTATCTCCCTGATTAGACTATAAAATAATAGCTCCTTAAGGGCAGCCAGCCTGTGGTGCTGACGGCTATATCCCTGGCTTGTCATGGAGTCTGCCATATAGTAGGCACTCTAAATGCTTTATTGAATGAACAAGCAGAGCAATTCTCTCAAATACCTCTCCCTCCCTTACTTTCTGCCCACCACCACCTTCTCTAACTGGGTATGAGCCCCAATCTTACCCTATTTCTCAATCTCAAAGCTAGAACAAAAAATAAAAGAGAGGAAAGCCTGGATTCAAATCTCTGTTCTGCCACTTCTGGATGGGTAATATCAGACCTTACTTCTTGAACCTAAGTTTTCCTCACCCACTAAAGGGGAATATTACCTTTTTTATAAAGTTGTTGGGAGGATTAAATGAGCTGATAAACTAGTGCCCTGCCCAGTCCCTGACAAAGGCAGAACTGAATAAATGTTACATGTTCCTGCCCCCATGGCCAAGCAGGGGCTCTTGAAAATAGAGATCTTTTTTTTTCCTTTTTTTAATCAATTCTAGGATGAAAGACCAAAAGATAGAACAAAGACACATTCATGAATCCAGAAGGAGTCATAAAGATGCCAAGAGTATTTTAACTTATACAATAATAATACAAGATCAATTGAAAGTGCAGAACAGACAGAGATCAAGCCTGCAAATTTATAGACAATAGACACTGTAACGACAGGTTTGCTCTGTCAGAACTTTTGTATGAATTAAGCTTCATCTTTTATGTGTGCATCCATTCATTTTCCACATAATGTTCACCCTCAAGAAGTTGCAAACATTCCAGTTTGCTTAACTAACTCCAGGGTGCTGTGCAAACCCTTTGATTAGCAATAGGGTACACAAACCCCATAAGGAATATTATCTTCCCACTGAGCCTAGTAAACAGTAAGAGCTATCACCTTCCCAATAAGCCTCCTTCGCCCCTTTCTGAGGCATCGGGCTGCAGCTCCAGGCAGACGATTCAAGCGTGCATGGTATCCTAAAAGTAAAGAAGAAAAGCTTCAGTTACTGAATGCAGAAAATTCGTAAGCAAACGTCTGCTTCTAGCACACTAAAGGCCTTACCACAGGACTGTACTTTAGTGACCCTTAAACTAGTATCACAAAGCTACCTGCCAAGGATTTATTATTCCTATGCCTTTGTCACTAGCCGTATGATCTTAGGTCATTTACATTTGACCCGGGCATCTTCATCTATAAAACAGATAATTACTTGCTCAGTCCTATCTCACAGGCATGTTTTGAAGACCCAATGAAACAGTACAAGGAAGGTACTCTTTCAACTGAAAGCACTCCACAAATATAAGGCATTAGTAATAGTTTTTAAATTATATGTTTGTTACTACCTCAAAAACATTCTAATTCATAAAATGGTAAAAATAGTATATATAATATAATCTTACTTTTGTAAATTACTGTATGTGTCCTAAGGAGCCCTTGTGGTACAGTGGTTAAGCACTCGGCTGCTAAACCATGGCTTGAACCCACCAGCCGCTCTGTGGGACAAAGATGTGGCAGTCTGCTCCCATAAAGATTACAGCCTTAGAAACTCTATGGGCAAGTTCTACTCTATCCCATAGGGTCACTGTGAGTCACAACTGACTAGACAGCAATGGGTTTTTCTTTGGTTTATATGTGTTCTGAACACAGAAAAAACAACTGGAAGAATCCACAACGAAATGCTATCAGCGGCATCGTCTCTAGGTGTCAGGTATAGGCCATTTGAAGTTTCCTCTTCTTGCCGTTCTTGCATATTTATATGTATTTTAAGTGGCCCATAGAGGACTTTCAGAAATGTTCATGGGAATGTTCGATGAAATCTATTAAGTTAGTAAACCATGTGCCTCAAGCCAGGAAATAGTCTTCACCAAGAACCAGTTGCTTTGAGAAGGCAAAAGCACCTCTTTCAAACACCCAAATTCATCATAACAAAATCCTATATAATAAGAGTTTATAGCTCTTAGTGGAAATCTGATCACCAACAGGTGTTCAACAAATACTTGATGACTAACTGGCTGATTACTGACTACTGGGAATCCTAGAATCATAAATTAATAGACTTAAAAAATAAATAAATAAACATCTGAAACAGTTTTGTTCAATTCACATATCATAAAAGATGACCCTGACATCCCAAGGAAATGAAGTGACTTTGTCACAGTCATAGAGTTAGGTATACAGTACCAAGAAGAATATTACCACATTCCCTTCTCCTCGGTCCTAGGCTCTTTCCACCCCCCTTGCTGCATCTTAACTGAAGGAAGGACAAAGGGAAAGAATGTGTTTATGTTAAAGCATCTAGTAATAGAATTATTAAAATAAAATTATTTGAAGAAATATTTTTAAATCATCCATTAAAAAATGTCATTATACCTTGCATGTGAATGTTCTTACTAAAATCTGTTCTCTTCCAAGGTCCAATCCTTCAGACTTCCATCAGGTACTAACAACCCATCAGTTTCACAGCAGGATAAGAAGCAGTGACATGCTGCTAGGCTTCATACAATCCAGGACAAACGGCACTGGCAAGCTGAACAACTGTCCTGCTAATATATATTCCAAGAGTCCCCGTGGATTGGTTTAGGTGGGAATGGAGAGAACCTCAAGCTTTGAGGCTCACCCTTGAATCCTCTAGAAGAATCCCTGGCCTAGCCCAAACTTCAGAGTTACTGTGTCCCTCCAGGTGTGAGTATGCTCGCCATAGGACAATTCTTCCCAGCAAAGAGAAATAAAAAAGCATAAAGAGTATTTTTGGTCCCTGCAGAACCTACCTCTTTGAGCTGGTCGAGAAGGTAAAAGGAATGTGGAATCTGAAAGTTTATCCAATCCAGAGTCCATTCTTTCAACTTCAGAGCAATGATCAGGCGCCCACTTGGGTAGAAGATTAGGGACAGTGAATCCTGTGACACATTCTCCTTCATAGAACCAATCACTCTGTTCATCATCCCCTAAAATAAACAGATCACATCATGACCTGAACTTTTTTTTTTTAATAATATTTTATTATGTTTTCAGTGAAGGTTTACATAGCAGTTTAGGTTCTCATTCAACAATGTCTATACAAGTTGTTCAGTGACATTGGTTATATTCTTCACAATACATGAACATTCTCATTACTTCCATTTTGGTTGTTCTGTTTCCATTAATCTAGTTTCCCTGCCCCTTTACATTCTCATCTTTGTTTAAAGTAATTATTGCCTGTTTGGTCTCATATAAGTGACTTTTTGAAAGATGTAGAGTACTTACAGGTGATATTCTTTTTTTTAGCCCATTTGTTATTTAGCTACAAGGTGACCTGACCTCAGGGGTTAGTTTAGGTTTAAAGAGCATCTGAGGGCAATAGTCTCGGGGAGTCTTTCAGTCTCAAGTAACCCAGCAGGTCTGGTTTTCTTTTTTTTTAGGAATTTGAGGTTCTGTTCCACATTTTTCTCCCTTTCTATCAGGGTCCATCAACTGTGGCCCTGAGTAGAACGGTCAGTAGTAGTAGCTGGGCACCATCTAGTTCTTCTGGACTCAGGGTAGATAAGGTTGTGGTTCGATAAGCTGAACTTTTAACATGCTCTATGAAAAAACTAAATGGGAGGATGATTTCGCAGCACTATAGTTTTGGTTATTCTTTTAAAATAAAACCAAAGAACAAAAATACTGTTTTGGTCCTTCTTCTTGATCATATTATGATGAAAACTGGGACATCAAACTAGTTTCAGATAAATGTCATAGTGTGTCAGACTGGACTGCTTTTAATAGTAAAAACTAATAAAGCTACTACTTACTAAGCCCTTAGAACATACCAGGATCTGAACTAAAAATCTATAAATATATCTTATCACCTCTTCTAAACCTTACACTAACTCCAATTTACAAATAAGGCAACTAAAGCCCAGAGAAGTCAAGGTAAAATGAGCCAACAAAGAAGCTACGATTTGAACCCAAAGCCTGACAAACTCCTAAGTCTGAGGTCTTTACCACAAACTAAACTGCCTCCCATATACCATCCTCATGAGCATAAATAAACCTGAGGATTCAAAGTCCATGAATGCTTCTCAATCCAAAACGAGCTGCTCCTGAGGGATTTCTTACTTTTTTGCATTTTTCACAATAGGTGAATAAAGAATGTATGTCCAGACCTCTTTTTTCCCTTGGTATCTCATTAATGGGACAGAAAATCGCCAGGACACTAGCAATTCAAGCTATCAGGAAAAAACTAACCACAGAGACAAGCAATATAATTCCCCAAGGCTTGTCAAGAAGTTAAACCATTTACCTAAGGCCATACCACTCATCAATGACAAAGTCGAGACTAGACCCACACATCCAGACTCTTGGTTCAAATTTCTTTCTATTGGTTTCAACGACAGCATCTCAGTTTCTACCATAGTTTATTCCTGCCAACATAGAATAAGACAGGTAACTTCATGTCTGCCACCCTGTCCCACTTTCAAAATAGCAAGGATTAATAAAATTATTACAAGAACATCTAAAGAGTCTACAATACGTTCATTCTCTAAACTGTACTGGATCCTAGGGAAGCCGCTCATGATATGCCAATCGCCTGAAGTATCAGTTTCATGGGCCACTAACATCCAGGATAATGCTAACTGTTAAATCACTGTAGAGATCTTCAAAAGAAGCAATGAAAACTGTGTACTGATGAACAGTAGCATTACCACTGAAGAAGTTACTTTAAAATCAGTTACTTATAAAAACACACCACAAACAGCTGTCTCTCTAGAACAATGGTTCTCAGACTTCAGCCTCCATCAGAAGCACCAGTTGTTGTTAGTGTGTGCCGTCGAGTCAATTCAGACTCATAGTGACCCTACAGGACAGAGCAGAACTGCCCCATAGAGTTTCCAAGGAGTGGTTGGTGAATATGAACTGCTGACCTTTTGGTTAGTAGCTGAGCTCTTAACCACTGTGCCACCACGGCTCTGGGGGCTCCTTAGAGGGCTTGTTAAAACACAGGCTGCTGGGTCCTACCTCTAAAATTTCCAATTCAATAGGTCTGGGGCAGGACCAAGAGTCTGCACTTCTAACAAGTTCCCTAGTGATGCCAAGCTGCTCCAGGGACCACATTTTGAGAACCACTGCTCTCAAAGCACCTCACCAAACCAGGTATGTAGATGAACTAAAGACAGGCATTAGAATTAACAATGATTAGTTTCTACACACTACACTATATGAATACCTTCTGATCCATAAGCATTCTTAGGCCATTTATTAAACAGCATATTTAGATAGATCGTGTTTACAAATGCTTTTAATGAGTATCGACATAAACTACAGTGGAATTTTTTTGGTACTCAAGCACTAACTCAAGACTTTTAATAATACAAAAAGGGACTCACTGAGCTGGAAGAAACCTTGTGAGACCATCTAGACCAGGAGTCTTCAACCTGGGTTCACTAGGATGCCTGATGCAGGAGTTCCTCAAAAGAGTGCTACCAGGGAATAAGGAAGAGGCTGAGTGGATCTGTCTCCTGACCTCCAGCCCCTCTAGAATCTTGCTTTAAAACCAAAATAGGTTTTGTTGTCTTATAATTAGAGAGTCTGTGTAAAATTTTGTTTGGTTGGGAGGAGGGGAGGAAAGGGAGGTATCCTCTTATCTTGGTTTCTCAATAACTATTTTTTAAGAGCTCACTATATGCCAGGCAGTGTGTTAAGTACTGTGGCTGCAAATAATAAAGTAATTCCTCCCTTGAAAAGCTTCAATGGAAAAGACACACACCCACAAACAATAAGAATGTAATATAGCAAGTGATAAGAAAACAAGAAGTACAAGGAGCCACAAGAGAACAAAGAAAGAGAATAAGGCTTCTAGGAGATGATGTCTAAGCTGAGTCTATCGGCCAGAATCCCTTCAGGAAACAGATGGGACATTTAAGTGGGGTAATTGAGGAGACTTTAATGAAGTGACTATTTACAAAGGGATAGACAGCATTAAAGGAAACAATAGGGGTGATGCGGCAACCTGAAGCTAGCAACAATGGGAAATCTTGACCATTCCTAGACCTGAAGGGGCAAGGGAAAGTGGTTACCAGAGCCCAGAGAGAGAACTGTGCTTACAGCACAAGGCTGCCAAACAGGAGCTGTGGCCTTCAACAGAGGATCACAACCAGCAGTCCAACAGAAAGGAAGCCAGGGAAAGATATAATCCAATGCAGCAGACTGCGTTATTGTTTCCAGTTCTTCATTCCCTCCCTATAATAGCATGATATATCCATGCCCTTCGCTCTTTGCCATGGGGTTCTGCATGCCCTCCTCTTGTGCCCTACTGACACTGGCCTGGTCTTATGACTTGCTTCAGATAGTAGAACATTAAAAACAGTAACCTGTTGCCTTCGAGTCAATTCCGACCCATAGCAACCCTATAGGACAGAGGAGAACTGCCTCACAGGGTTTCCAAGGAGTTGCTGGTGGATTTGAACTGCTGACCTCTTGGTTAGCAGCCTTGGCTCTTAACAACTGTGAAGATGCAATTCAAGCTAAGGCTTTAAGTATGCATACATGGCCCGGTTTGGTCTCTTGGTGTTTATGCCCACCACCACAAGACGCCCATGCCTCAAACTGTCATTGCTCCTTTAGTTTAGGTGCCATAATAGGATACACTGAGTAGATATAAACCTAACTTGAAGACTACAAACCAGCTGAGCCCAGGTAAGATCAGCCAAACCACAGCCAACCCACAGCACGATAGTAAGAAATAAATGGTGGTTGTGGTTAACCACTGAAATTTTAGGGTTGCTAACCAGCACTATCACAATAAAAACTTGACTAATACACCCAATCTCACTCACCTCCCTCCCTCCAATCCTCTGCTGATGCCTCCTATTGGCCACACCCAAAAAGAAGTCAAGAGCAAGAAAGCCTACTGATGCAGTCTATAAAATCGATCAGCTACCCAGGGCACAGAGAAGACTGAAAAGCAGATCTAGAGGGGCAAAAGGAGAATTGTGTCTTGGTGGATGACCAGTCACTCTAGGAAAGGTGAGGATGAGATCTGAGGCAGAGAGATCAGCATAACAAAGGCACGGAAGCACAGTTTTGTGCTGAGAACTCTAAGCACCTAATTATCACCAGAATATGTGAAGCTGAAGCAGTGAAAGGGAGGAGAGTTGAAGCTAGAGAAAAATATTCTGTAATTTTTCTTGACAAGTCAAGGAATCCTTATTAGTAAAGACTTTCCAAAGGGCCAAAACTTAATATGCTGTAATAGGGCCACACTTTTTCCACCTCTGCATAATTATGCATCATAAATTTTAAGAGATATATTATGGTATTTCATAGCACTGTGGTAAAAGCAAGGAAAAAGAGCAAATATCTGTAACTCTGAACGGAACATACCAGCTCATACACAGAAAGACAGCCAGATTTTCCAGGTATAAGATAACAGAATCAAGACCCTAGCTAGAGCCTACCTGGCCACACACACACAGCCTCTAATGATACCTCGCTCCCTCAGAAACAGAAAGAGGTACAAACATACTCACAACAACCCTCCATTAGAGTAGGAAGCTTAACAACTCCATTGGATTGAAACTTTCTCCAGACTTATAACTCTTAGGCATGGATGAGATACCCTCCCCACAGTCTCTCTCCAAATCAGGCTTGGATCCTGAGTTTCACAGTCACAGGATCCCTTCAGTTACTACAGAGCCTACCTGGATCAACCTAGATATGTAGCCACTGTGCCTCTGTCCTTCAATCACTTAACTCTTAGAGAAGATCACTGGATTTCAGAGCTAGAAGGCACTTTAGAGATCTCCTACAAATCCCTTATTTAGAAGATAAGGAAACTACACCCAAAAAAGGCCATATGAAATCACAATTAATGTGGCCCAAAGCAAGTCTATAGGAACCCTGGTGGTGCAATGGTTAAAGCACTCAGGGTTTGGAAGCAAGTCTATAGGACAAGAGTTTTGTAGAATGCCCTTGTACCATGGCAAAGTGTCAAAATTGCTGTTTAGGTAGTAAAAATAAAGTACTAGTTATTAACATCAAAAACAAACCAAACCCACTGCCATCGAGTCGATTCCTACTCACAGTGACCCTATAGGACAGAACAGGAAACCCATAGGGTTTCCAAGGCTGTAAATCTTTACAGAAGCAGACTGCTACATCTTTCTACCACGGAGCAGCTGATGGGTTCGAATGGCTAACCTTTCGGTTAGCAGCTGAGCACTTCAACATACACCAGTCTTATTCACACTGCTCCATACTAAACTTTAGTAGTTTTAACTTCAGCAAGAATATTTTATATATTCACTCAGAATATTATGATTGTTTCATAAATAAGGTTATAGAAATAACTACCTTCTCTCTATGTGAAAATAAGAATGTCTTAACAACATCCAAAACAAGAGAGGGGTGCTTGAGGATTTTTGTTGGTTCTAATAAAAAGCAACTTCCCAAAAGTCCCAAAGTCCCGTCCTCCCTAGACCAATGAGTCTCAGAATCTGAATGACCTGCATAAGGATCATCTAAGTTGCTCTTGAAAAATGCAGGTTCCAGGGGCCTACTGTAGACCAATTTGATGTCTAAGAGCTCAGGAATCTGCAGTTGTAACAGTTCCCCAGGGGGCTCTTACATGCCCTAAAGTTTGAAAACCACTGCCATAGACAACCATCATCTTCTCAGTGAGTCACTCCTATGATCATTAGAATCTTGCCATGAACAATGAACCAGTGTCCTCAGACTGAGATCAAGATTACCTTGCCGGCCTTCATCGTTGGTAAATAGTCCAGGGTCACTGCTGCTACACACACTGCTAGTTTCACTGAAAAAGAGAAAAACATGAGAGAAAACATCAGCTCCAGTGAAAACACTGTACGTTCTTCTGGTTTTCAAAAGGTCCTCCCAAGCTCCCCTGAATTGTCCACTGGCCCATTAGCCAATCAGATATATAAATTTCCATGTAAAGCCATTAGAAGAAGTTTATATTTTCCCCAAAACAGAAGAAATGTAAGACGAGAATTCTAAAACTTACTTATATTTCAAGGTACTTTTAAAATATCTAAAGTCACTTTGTTAGTTTAGAAATAGAAGGCTATTATGGCTCATAAAAGTAATGTGAATCTGGTTCAGTACATTAAACAACACCAGAAATTTACAAATTTACCAACAAACTTTATTTTTAAATATTGTCAACTATCAGTTTCAAATAAAGCTATCATATTTTAAGATATTTAGCATCTCTCAAGTTTCTTTTTCCCTATTTAATAAACAGCAAACAAAAATCCATGAACAGAAAAAAAAGGGACAAAGTTATATTTTCTAAATTTAATGCCTTCCTTGATATCAAGTATGTATAACAGAATTCATTTTCAAAAAGGAGCTCAGGTTAAAAATATAAAAATGAAAACAAACTTTATTTGAACTCTTTGAAATAAAACTTTTGCCCCACTGAATTCAGTCTAACCAGCTTCATTTTCTAAGCTATCGCTCACAGATGATTCTGTTTCTTCTGATGACACTTTTCTTCCATCTACTCTTCATCGAATTTGATTCATCTGGTTCAAAAAAAAATTTCTCTTTTACAATATTAGCTATTTCCTTGATCGGAGTTATTTCCTTCTAAGCTAGTCCAAAAAAAAAAAAAAAAAAATTTTTTTTTTAACCTACTGTAGAAGATGGAGAAAACCAAAGCAAGGAAGAAGCACTTTCACCAGGCTATAGCAGCCGAACTCTTAACCACTACGTCACTAGAGCTTCTGCAGAAAAAAAAGGCTTGGCAAAAATCCCAGTCTACATTCCTGGATCAAAAACCTGAAAATATTTTGTATTTTGCAACATTTCCAAAAATCTTGCCAACACTAAATCTTAAAAATGCTGTTAAATTAAGTAGCAATGCTTTCCTTATTTAAGCTTGTCTTTGAGTAACAGACCCAAGAGATTTGCTGCCACGGAGCCAATCAAATCCACCCTATTTCTTTATATGTTCTTTCATTTTATTTTCTTCTATACTTACAAATGGGAACCTTCTCAGGGATCATTGTAAGAAATTTCTCACAAAGCCGTATCACTGGGTTTGGATGAATCTAGAATTTTCTTTATTGTACTCAGATGAAGGTTTACAGAACTAGTTTCTCATTAAACAGTACATATATTGTTTTATGACATTGGTTAACAACCCCATGACAAGTCAACACTCTCCCTTCCCAACCTTGGGTTCCCAACCACCAGCCTTCCTGTCCCCTCCTGCCTTCTAGTCCTTGTCCCTGGGCTGTTGTGCCCCTTTAAGTCTCGTTCTGTTTTACGGGCTTGTCTAATCTGTGGATGAAGGGTGAACCTTGGGAGTGATATCATTACTGAGCTGAAAGACTGCCCAGGGGCCTTACTCTTGGGGTTTCTCCAGTCTCTGTCAGACCAGTAAGTCTGGTCTTTTGTGAGTCAGAATTTTGTTGTACATTTTTCTCCAGCTCTGTTCGAGACCCTCTATTGTGATCCCTGTCAGAGCAGTCAGTGGTGGCAGCCGAGCGGCATCTAGTTGTACTGGACTCAGTCTGGTGGAGGCCATGGTAGTTGTGGTCCACTAGTCCTTTAGACTTATCTCTCCCTTATGGCTTTAGTTTTCTTCATTCTCCCTTGCTCCCAAAGGATTCCAGTGGAGTATCTTAGACGGCCGTTCACAGGCTTTTAAGACCCCAGATGCTGCTCACCAAAGCAGAATGTAGAACATTTTCTTTATGAACTATGTTATGAAAAATTGAGCTATATATTCCCTGAGACCATGATCCCCACTGCCCTCAGGGAGTTTGGATGTGTCTGTGGAGCTTCCATGACCTTGATAAGCTGTGCTGGCTTCCCCACTATTGTGTACTGTCTTATCCTGCACCAAAGTCACCACTTATCTATTGTCTATTTAGTGTTTTTCCATTCCCAACCCTCCCCTCCCTCGTAACCATCAAAGATTTGCTTCTTTTTGTGTGTAAACTTTTTCATGAGTTTTTATAGTAGTGGTCTCATACAATATTTGTCCTTTTGTGACTGACTTATTTCACTCAGCATAATGCCCTCCAGTGAATCTAGAATTTTCAACGAGCTCTACAGTGAAATCCAGAAGACCTTCTCAGCAAGTACTGTATTCTGCCTACTTCTAAATTCAAAAACTCTCCCTGCTGATCTTAATGGTGTCATTCTTGTATTTTTAGTGAATTCAAAATAACATGAGTGGTCTAACTCCATGAAGTCTTAACTATACAGTCTTGTATATTATGACTTTATTATTTTCTTCCCATCTCTCTTCGAAGAGAAAGCAGATTTTACATTTTTAAATTTCTCTTAAGGGGAGTTAAAAAGCACACCAGGCCATGGGACAGATATTCCACTCCACCATCATTTTATAAAGGAGTCCTAGTGATGCAACAGTTAAGCGCTCAGCTGCTAACTGAAAGTTCAGCAGTTCAAACCCACGCAGCGATTCCATGGGAGAAAGACTTGACAATTTGCTCCCATAAAGATTAAAGCCTAGAAAACCCTATGGGGCAGTTAACTCTGTCACAAGGGGGCACTATGATTTGAAATTGACTCAAGGGCACCTAACAACAACAATAATCATGTTATATACTTTGTTGGTTAGCAGAATCATACTGAGATTTGGGGGTCAGCAAACTACAGCCTATCACTTGTTTTTGTATGGCCCACAAGCTAAGAATGGTCTGTACGTTTTGAAATTGCTGAAAAAAGAATTGAGAGAAAGAATATTTTGTAACACACAGAATGATATAAACTGCAAATTTCAATGTCCATAAATAAAGCTTTATTGGAACACAGCCATACTCAATCATTTACATATTGTTTATGGCTGTTTTCACACTACAACTGCAGAGTTGAGTAGTTTTAACAAAATATATGGCCCACAAAGCCTAAAATATTTACTATCTAGCCCTTTATAGAAAAATCTTGCCAACCCCTGCTCTACATGAGTTACAAGTTCCCCTCTGCAATGTCTATGGTCTCTTCCGTTTGAATATTTTCCAGTTATAAAAATTAAATTGTTGGTTTATCACAAAGCCTATCCTTACTCCATTCATTTCCAGCTACCTATAAGCACTACAAGATACAGTGCTTGCTTGATTCATTTTTGCATGGATTCAATTCTCTTCTCATATTCTAAATAAAAGGGGTAAACTCAAAGAATGTCTGCTGGATCAAGAAAGATGCTGGTAACCTCTAACCCTCTTGTCACTATAGATTTTCTGTCTACAACATTTCAGGAGAATCAATGTTCTTGATAGAGTTTGGATTCAACTTTTCTATGAGAGTTTCCTATGTATAGTTAATTGTAGTAAAGATAACAATGCCATAGAAATAGCATCAGGATTTTAAGATTATGGTCAAGGGAAACATGTATTTTCTTCATTTAAAAAAAAAATTATGTCTACAGAACACTTTTTACATAAAACTGCCATCATTCTACCAGTGTCTGGAAACGTTTCATCTGATAGCATTTGCTGTTTCTATTTATTCCCACAGAACAACTTGCATTGTGGAAATCTAGTCATACATTAAGAACTTGTTAGCAATTTGCTGAAGAGGAAAAAAGCAGGTGATGTAGTTTCATGGTATGCTTGCACATAAACACTATGATATAGCATGCAAAAATGTAGTGATAGCTATAAAGTAGAAGCACATATTTCCCCTTCCAAGTTATAAGTCGAAATTTTCCAGTCCTTCAGCACTCACTCACAGCTCAGAGATTGTGGTTAAAAAAAAAAAAAAATCGTTTCAGTAGGATTTTAATAATGATTTTATTATTTTAATAAAATGTTAATTTAGTTAATGCACTTTAATATTCTGCTAAAAATAAGCTACCAACTTTCAATAAAGACAATTTGCTTTTAGCACCTCTGCTAAGTTCAAAGACGTCAGCCTCCTACATTTCTCCTATTCCAAAACCTTCAAATTTGTTTGTAACTGTTGTGCTATGAGCCTTTTTACAAGCCAAGGATAAAAAGCTTTGTTCCTTGTTTTTATAAGAAAAAAAATGTGATCTTACCTCTAGTGTCTACTCCACTCATAGCCCTCTGAAGCTTAGTCAGGAGACAGAAACCCAGTCTTTACTAATCTTTAGATAAAAGTAACAAGACAAATCCCACAAAGAAAAAAGGCAATAAAGGCTTGTCTTTTCCTAAATTGGCAGCAATTCCTCCAGGCATCAACGCCCCTTGGCTTGCCTTGGGAGTTATTCTGCACCCACTCTTCTCCTATGGTTTAATCTATAAATAGTTTACATACAAAAATCTTCCTAGAATATTTCTAAAATAGTTTGGAGAGGAAATATAATAACCTTACAAGTAATATTCATCATTCAAAAAATTCAATCCTAAATTGGGAGAATAAAATATCTCTAATAGGAGAAGGAGAGAATTTCTCCCCTATTTCTCCTAAACCTTCACTCACTCATTCATTGGCAAGCGCTTATTAAGCATTTACTATATACCAGACACTGTGCTATAACCAACACTAAAACAAAGAAACACGTCAATTTAAATGCATTCATTTGATAGGTGTCCAATCGTCTTCGTGAACAATCTCCTTTACCATGAGACCAGAAGAACTGGATGGTGCCCGGCTACCATTACTGAACATCTTGATCAAAGATCCTATAAAAGGATCATGATCCAAATGGGGAAAATGTGGAACAGAGTTTCAAATTCTCATAGAATCCAGACTTTCGAGAGCTGTTGAGGCTGGATAACCCTCCCAAAATTATTACCCTGAAAAAAATATTTAAACCTTGAACTGAAACTATTTCCTAAAGTCATCTTTGAACCA